GCGGGGGCGCCCTTCCGCGTGGAGGGGGCGAGCGCGGATGGAGGGGACGGGCCGAGCGCGGAGGAGGCACGGAGCCCGGAGGGGGGCGGGGTCCGAGCGATGCGGGCCGAGGGCGTGGCAGCGGGGATGAGGCTGTGCGACCGGCGCTCTCCGCCGCGGCGCCCGCGGGCGCCGCGGATGGCGAGATCCTGGTTCGTGCGGCGGTCCAGCCCTGGGTCTGCTTCGATCCGATCGACCCAGTTCGATGTCGATTCTGGCCAGCTCGATCCGATTCGATTCCGACATTCCGACGATCCCCGATGCGTCCCGATGCTTGCACGGCGCTACCCCCCTGGCGCCACCCCGTGTGCGCGCCGCCAAAGAGGGGAGAGGATTCGGGGACCGAGGTTCGATGTTTCTGCATCGTTTTCTGCACTTCTTGTCGTCGCCACGTGCCGGACTTCCCTCGAAGGTATTGGTCAAAGCGCGCCCGAGGAGAGGTCTGGCGGTCGGTTCTGAAGAGATTCTCTGAGTTTTTTGTATAGAGGGAGTGGGCGAGGGGAGTGGCCCAACAGGGAGCAGCCGAGGCCGCGAGGGGGAGCAGTGACAGGAGGGGGATGGTGGAGGTGGGACGAGGGCCCGCGGAGCCAAGAAGTGAGGATGTTTCAGTTTTATTCGTCATGCTGGAGTCAGGTGCACTCCAGGCTCTCCAGCCTGCTTTGCTCGCCAACGGGGCGAACCCTGCAGGGAACACCAGGACGCAACGGGTGCGAGAGAGAGTGCTCAACGTGAGTTGAGAAGGGTGCTGGCTCGAAGGTGCCTTTTACCTTGAGAAGCCCGCTGCGATCCTCTGTCATCGAGGTCTCCGCGCTCCCACGAGGTGGTTTTGGGCTTCAACTTCCGAGTCGCTCTAGCACTTCTGCCTATAGCCCCCTATCGGGGTCAAGCATAATTCCTGAGACGTGTCTCAGGCGACCAAGGTTGCGCCCAGAGTCATGTTTGCTTGCGGATTCCGATCATGTCAGTCTTGTGGTGTTGAGAGCCTGGGGCAGCTTGCAGAATGGCAGGACGCAGGCTCTCAGCTTCGGTTTTAACTTCGATCGGAGGGGGCCAACTATACACCTACACCGGTTCTGGCCTGGCCAGGGTCGGTGTACGCCAGGCTACCACCGTGAAGTAACGCCAAACAAGGGACTACGCCCCTCTCTGGCCCCCATGGCGCCTGGCCGCACGAGGAGCGCCAGAGAAACAGCCACGGAAGGACCCAAGGAACAGCGAGCCGCTTCCGAAGCCGAACCGCCCCCCTCTCTTCAGCGCCTCGGCCGTGGCTGGCACCCCCCCGCTCATGCCGCGAAGGAACGCCGTGCGGCAGAGCGCTGTCGGGCCCAACGTGAGAGCACCTTGAGGCATTTTGCCTGGTGCTTGGCAACTGGGGGCGGCCGCGCAGTCCTCTGTGCTTCGGAGTGCCTCACCGTGGTGGGTCGGTCCTCTTCGTGGCGGTGGCGATCTTCATGACAGTTGACTCGTACGCGGACCCAGGCGTTGTCCAGCTGCAGGTCCCAGAGGTATACTCCGTTGTGGTTGACGTACCATGTACCTCCTGTCATCCAGTCGTCGCAGGGCTACCGGCTGAGGGGGCCGTGGCCTGCTGTGGGGGCGGATCGGCCAGGAGAAGGGGGCTCGAGCTGGCCAGGATTGGCCTCGACAGTTTTTGCCAAAGCCGTGATTGGAACAAAAACAAAAAACGTCATGCCGCGAAGGAACGCCCAGCAGCGGCTCCTCGGCCGCCGCGCCGCAGCAGGCAGACATCCGAGATCGGGGCTCCGGCCGCCTCCCCGAGAGGCGCCGACGGGGGCGCGGTACACGGCCATGGCACGTCGGAGCCACCGCTTCAGCCCTCGAGGAGCTGCGCAGGCCAGCTTGCCTTCTCCTTCTCCTCCTTGCCCTCCTCCTTGCCCGCCCCCTCCTCCTCCTCCTCCTTCTTCCTCCTCCTCCTCCTCCTCCTCCTCCTCTGACGCTGGCCAGGCTCTGACTGCAAGGCTGCAGCGCCCTGCGAAGCGCGCGCGTCGGAAGTCAGGGAGCGCGCGTGTGTGGAAGCACAAGAGTGGCGCAGCGTGCAGCAGGCAGCTCCTCCTCGGCGCTCGGAGCCCTAGGCAGGGCCATCCTGGTGTAATTTGTGCCTTCGGCCCTCCACTGCACGTCCAAAGTTTGGAGGTCCTGGGGGCGAGGGCCTTCTACGGAAAATGGGCCGATCCCGCCTGCTGCAAAGGGGCCGAGGAGGGGGAGAACGAGGAGCGGGCGACACGAGGAGGAGCAACAGGACGAAAGGGAGAAAGGAGCGGAGATGCGGCTCCTCCTCCTCCTCCTCCTCGTCCTCCTCGTCCTCCTCGTCCTTGTCCGCCGCGGCCAGGACAGCCCAGCGTAGTCTACCTTGCTCTCAGGGCAAGGGGGACGTCACCGTCTAGAGGAGCGCTTCGTCACCGCCGCGGGGTCTCCCAGGCCTCCAGAGTGCCTCCCCGAGCCTGTTTGAACCGGCGCCGTGGAGGCACGCTGGAGCCTGTTGGCGCGCTCATTGTGGCCTCTTCTGGGCGTTTTTCGGCAAAGCGCGTGGGTCATGCATGCGGCACTGCACGTGCGGCCCTGCTCGGTGAAGCACGTGCGCAGCGACGCGGCGGAGTCGGACGGCCAGGGGAGCAAGTCAGACTAAGCGCTGGGGCCTCAGGCAGCATCCGGGCGGGGGGTGCAGGGCCCACCCATAATTCGGAAACCGCGCTACTCACGGAGGGGGTACCCGTGAGCGGGACGAGCGGGAGGGAAGGGCCCATTGGCCTGCACACGCACACGCACACACACCACACGCACAACACACGCACCACACACAACACACACACACAACACACACACACGCAGCACGCACGCACGCACGCGGGCACGCACGCACACACACACACACACGCACGCACGCACGCACGCACTGCACGCACAACACACGCACCACACACAACACACACAACACACACACACACGCACGCACGCACGCAGGCATGCACGCACGCGGGCACGCACGCACACACGCACGCACGCACGCACGCGCGCACGCACACACGCACACACGCACGCACACACACGCACGCACGCACGCACGCACACACGCACGCCCACACGCCCACGCGCACACACGCACACACGCACACACGCACGCATGCACGCACGCACGCACGCACGCACGCGCGCACGCACGCACGCACGCACGCACGCACGCACGCACACACGCACACACGCACGCACGCACACACGCACACACGCACGCACACCACGCACACGCCACGCACACGCACACACACACCACACACACGCCCACACGCCCACACGCCACACGCCCACACGCCCACACGCCCACACACGCACACACGCACACACGCACGCATGCACACACACACACACACACACACGCACACACGCACACACACACACACACGTGTGCGGGACGAGCGGGAGGGAAGGGTCCATTGACCTGCACGCGCACACACACACCACACACTTTTGATCCGCGCGTCGAGAGCGAGCTTCTTCCGGTTGGAGCTAAGCGGGCCGCGCACAGCTTTAATTGACAGAGGGGGGAAGGCAGAAGGAGGGGCCTCACGTCACGGCCACACACCACACGCACCACACACAGCTCACGCACCACACACAACACACACGCAGCACGCACGCACGCACGCGGGCACGCACGCACACACGCACACACGCACGCACGCACGCACGCACCGCACGCACCACACACAACACACACACACACGCACGCACGCACGCACGCACGCACACACACACACGCACACACACGCACGCACACACGCACGCATGCACACACACACACACACGCACGCACGGACGCACGCACGCACGCACGCACACGCACGCACGCACGCACACACGCACACACGCACACACGCACACACGCGCACACGAACGCACGCACGTACGCGCGCACTCACTCACGCACGCACGCACGCATGCACGCACACACGCACACACTCACACCCGATAGTGAAGAGAGATCCTGATACTCAATCTTGCCACCGAGGTTCGTCGTCTGCCCTCAACAACAATGATAGTAGAAGGAACACGGATGATTTATGCCTGTCCCGCCCGAGCGAGCACTTCTGTCAGCACGGTCTGCTGCCGCGGCAGCTCGGGGGGCCTGTGCCCCTAAAACAGGCCTGAACACAAACGGCAATATACATGCGCATATGTGCAGAGAGAGAGAGAGAGAGAGACCTGGCAAATTAATGCGGGATATACAGCAGACACTCTGTGTGTTCACACGTGAACGCATGCTTCGACACCATCTGGCTGCAGATGGTGTCACCCAAAGCCCTAGAGTCTGAGCCCCTTACGGCCCAAGATTTTCCCAAGAGCACAGCTACGCTAAGGAAAACAGGGTAAACATCCGAGACTTGTACTGAGAAAGCTTAAACCTGAAAAGACTACACGCACACACACAAACCCACCATTTCAAAGGGAGGTTCAGACGAAGAGCCTTTGGCTCCACGAGATCATAAGTTGGCGGGTTCGCGCGGGTGAGTTGCGTGGGTACGGCACACGTCAATCTTATCTGTACAGAGGCCCCATCCACCGTACAAGATAGAGTAGACATGGGTAGCCAAGCATACGGGGGAAGGGTGAGAGCAAGCGGGGGAATCTTGTCACTCAGAAGTTCACCCTCCCCAAGGGAGGCCTGGAATACAGATGTAGATACCTGGGAGAGGACTGAGGCCATGACTGGACATCACGGTGCAGGTAATGGAGGTAAGGTTCTGAGAGATCTCTGAAAGAACGTCCTCAAACGTCGTGGAAGCACTGAGACCAAACTTATGCATGATAAGACGCGCCTCCAGGAAGGCGAATATCAACAGCAACTTCAAAGCAAGAGAGAAAACGGTCCAGAAACTCCAAGAAGCGAGCGGGGTCCTCTTCCTGTGGTGTACATGAGGATCAGGCTGGCGTGCTGGAAGGTCTGCTCAGGGTGGGGTATCCTGAAGCGCCGTCTCACTCCACTCGCCGTCGCTGTCGAGGTACTGGTAGATCTTGTTACCAATCGTCGTATAAGATTTCACATCAAGGATCCAGGTCTCCGCTTCAGAGTCGAAGCTGCGTAGCTTGGACTGCCATTGGCTCACAGACTTGAGCTTACATACATGTGACCACCACTCCTTCCACGGCAGCGGAAGGTTCTCAGCCAGGGACTTCACCTCTTTACGGTCTAAGCTGATGCCCAGGATATTGAGAGCGGCCTCGGTCGTCTCCTGGTCCATCGTGGTCTTGAAGAGAGGTGGTGGAGCCTGGGGCAGAGCAGGACCCTTATCTCTATCCTGCCTTGTTGCCCGCCTGGCTGGAAGGGGGCCTTCTGTGGATTTGAACATGTTCATCAACCCGCGCACTTCCGACCCCGTCTGGGCAGTAGTGTGCTGGATAGACTGGATCGCCTCCTTCTGCTTCGACTGCTCGGCGCTGAGGGCATCGAAATCCTGTCGCAGCTTCTTGAAGGCCGGCTGCGACTCGAGATCAAACCCACTTTGCGGGGTCGGTGGTGTCGTCATAGTAGGAGGCGTAGTCGGAAGTGTGGGTGCAGACTGGCAGGACCGTACGAACTCAGACAGCTGGTTCACCGTCTCCGTCAGCCTAGAGTCACCACGCGGCACTGGAGATTGTGGTGTCACCCCCGTAGGCGGTGGCGACGGTGGTGGCTGAGCGGCCTTGATCACGTGCGTCAGGGCCGCGGCGAGCTCGTGGGTAGAGGTGTTGGCTGGGGCAGGGGCACCGCCCGCTGCTGGGGGTGTTGACTGCGTCTGAGCATATGCCAATGCGCTGCCAATCTGAGCCATCTGGCCAAGGCTCGCTAAATTGCCCATCGTATCATTGAACTGGTCTGCCATCGTAGCAAACCCTCCCCCTTGACGAGGCTGATATCCTCGCGAATGGTGCTGCTGGGGACCTTTTCCTTGGTGCTGGTTCCTCCCTCCTTGTGGGTGCCGCGGCTTACCGCCCATCTCAGTATGTGGGATCGGCGTCGAGGGAAGGAAGCAGGGTCGGTCCCCGTGGGGTCGCACCTCGGAGGCCCGTAGGAGAAGGGCTCGGGCCACAGAGCAGTTACGGATATGACCTTGGAGGCTTCGGGTGGTCCTGGATTTCGCAGGGGAATAGGCTTGGGCAACCAACCGTAGGGCTAGTAGGGCGAGATCCTGAACTTCCGAGGAGGGCTGAATGCGGGCCCAGAGCTTATAGATGAACGTGTAGGGGTATCCGAGGTGGATGTAAACCAGGATGTCGATAATAATCATGTGTAGGAGTAAAGCTGGATGTGTAGATAGACTGCGCCAGCGAGAGAGTCGACCCCGAAGTTCGGCCCGATGTCGAAGGGAAATGTGTCGACTATTGTGGTACGTGTACGGGGGGATTGACGACTTCTCGATGTGCTGGGGGTCCCCTGTCCAGGCAAACTTCATGTTTTTGTGTATAGGGCTCAAGAGGAACTCCTGGAAATTGAAGTGGACCCTGGCATCCAAGAACGTTTGGGCGACAGTCTCGAAAGTCACGACATCGAACTTCTCGTCAACTTTAAACAACCATTATGTTTTTGTAGACGCAGACGATGACAGTACGAACACATTCTCGGCACAGGGTCCGAGATAAAAGAATCAGGTCATCCACGTAGCGGCCTACGGCCAGGTGGCGGAAACGCGAAGGGTTGGCGGCATCATACATGGTCTCGCAGCGAGAGAGCACAATCTCAAGTATACAGCCTGAAAGTGGGCCTCCGATCGGAATGCCCTGCAACTGCTGCAAGAAAACGTCACCCATGCGGAAGATTCGCATGCCGAGAAAGCCGTAAACTGCACTTCGCATAGACTTCATTGAAAAGATAGTGCGATCTGCATGCGGTATTTTGTAATCTCCTCCCCATCGTGTATCATATCCCCGATCCATGTTCGTAATTGTGACAGTATGTGTTTTTGTGACCTCTGGGACCCTTTCGAAAAGCTCCTGGACTGCAGTGTAGATCGCACTAGTATCGAGTTCCTCGTAGGCCTGACCTGCATCAGCCACGAGAATGGTCGGGTGGCTCATCTTCCGACCGCAACCATGGCAATGGTAGCAACCGGTATGCGAGCAGCGTGTCGGGCGCCGTAGTCTCGATACACGGTCCGCCAGAGAGGGAAGGCTTGACTCATGTCACGTAAACCCCATCCAGGCGTGAGATATTTCATGATATGTTGAAGGCCCCGACCTAGCTGCCGATATACACGTCTCCCTGGGAGACGAACAAAGGAGCATATATTCCTAAAACACGAATGTTTTGGGTCTTGGCATCGATGTTCACCAGAGGGGGTCCAGCATTTCAGTTTTACCGTGGGGTATACATCGGGCAACTTGTCATATGATAATGGGGATCGTCCACGGAATAACCTTTTTGGAATAGTAAAGCCCAATAGCATACGGTACCAGGATACTACTTGGGATTTGGGAGCATGTATGATTTTCCATCTTTGAGGGACACGGCTGATCAGATAAGTCCATCGGAGCATCATGTAGAAGGGAGCGGTCCTTATCTTCAACCGTGATGCAAGCCGAGAGCCCAAGGGATTTTGCCTCAGAAACCACTGCCGAAGTAGATGACGAGAAACGTTTTGAGGAGGCTTGGTTACGGAGTCCTTGGGGGGGCCGACACCCGAGTTCGTGAAGATGAGCCTCAGGGAAACGAAAATGACGGAGCCACTGCCCACACCTAGCGTAAACCTCACGACGAATCTCTTTCTCGGTACCTTCAAGGGGAGTTCTGCCAGAGAGCGTGATGCGGCCAACGTCTTGGCCAGAGGTAAGGCAGGATAATAAAGAGGGCTGGGCATCAGCTAGATCACGAAACCGAAAAGCATGCACGCACTGAACGACATTCAAGCAACGTCGCTTGATAGGTTGCGGCGGTGCCAGCGCAATGGGCGTGTCAACTTCCGCATCAGGGCTGACCACTGCGGGCGGGCACGTGCAGAGCAACGCAGAGCCTCTTCGTGCCATTCACGAACTGGCTGCAAACATTCCACAGAGGGGACATGGAGGTAGTTCTTGCACGGGAGAGGGACATCGTGAAGGCGACAGTATGTACTTACATGTGCACGTGCGCGTAGTCTGTCATGATAGTGTGGAATAACAGCACAAAATAGCCAAACGGTTGTCGGGAAATTTGCTGGAAACGCTCGTAGTTTGGAGGCTTTTGTCCAATCAATATCGTCGGGTTTAACGATGAGGAACTTCACAAACAAGGGAAGGTATCCTGGGTGGTGGATGTCAAGTGGTCCCTGGGTTCCTGTCGATTTGACAAAGGCTTGGAGGTAGACCTGGTGCACGAATTTGAAATGGTAGCGTAGAATAGTTTGTAAGCGAGCGCGGCTTTCGAGGTATCGTTGCCGAGAAACATTCTGGGGCGCGAAGCGATCCATCATGCGAGAGTGCCAAACATCCGAAGAGTCCACGAGTCCTGCAGGGCTCGGGAACCAGACCTGGAAGTACGCCCATTTCGTCGACGTCGGCCCTGGGTGCGATGTTTTCGACGACGAGCACGAACGGGCACAGGAATATTATTGGCCTCAGGGCGATGTAGGTTAATGTGCGCCGACTCGATGGAGTAGATCGCATCGGTCGGAACATAATCAACTGCAAGAATCGGAGACTTATTTCGGCCATTCTTGGAAAGGAGAATACTGTAGCGGGTATCTTGGGGTCCTTTTTCACCAGGCAACACTCGAGCCCATCCGCGAACATGTTCACGAAACCTGCTGATGAAGCGCGTGGTACGCCCCAGGCCGCGATACTGGCAAGTCTGGCCAACGTATCGTCCTTTGAAACCGAGCTGATAAACAAAGCTGTGAGGAGGGGAGCCTGTGGAAGACCACCCATATAAGGCTGATGTCTATAGGCGGACCAATGAACAAATCGAGATTATATGATGAACGTCAGCCTCTCCACGCCGAACGAGAGCCTTACGGTGGACATCACTTAAGACGTTGATGCGTCTTAGAACCCACCATGCATATTGGCGTCCACGACCACTGTCATTTCGCAAGGATAATATCATAAAGGCAATTGTGATGCTCGCACAAATCTCCCATCCGAGTGGGGTGAGGGTGGACGTGGGGTTGGACACGTGCTGCAGGTACTCAGTGTATATGTGACCGAGAGCCGTGGTGAAGGTGAGATTCGGGCGATCGATTAGGAGATGCCATGTCGTCGCTGTCCAGAAAGCCTGACAAATATGTGGATGTTGGTGAGGCTGTCGGCGAAAAAGCAGAGACTTATCAAACAATACACGGCGCTGAACTTCGTCGCGGAGAAAGGTAAGGTGCATCAAACTTCGCATGCCTCCTTGCTTGCTGCCGAGATCTGACAGCGGTTGTCGTGCAGCAAGCCATTGGCGGAGAGAACGCTCTTGCGAGTGCTCAGTTGACATCTATCGATAAGGAAATATGAAAATATGAATGTGTATATGGAGGGCGCCGATGGTACAATGCAGCAGGTACTGTTGCAAATCCACGCTGGCGCAATCACACGATAGTGAAGAGAAATCCTGATACTCAATCTTGCCACCGAGGTTCGTCGTCTGCCCTCAACAACAATGATAGTAGAAGGAACACGGATGATTCATGCCTGTCCCGCCCGAGCGAGCACTTCTGTCAGCGCGGTCTGCTGCCGCGGCAGCTCGGGGGGCCTGTGCCCCTAAAACAGGCCTGAACACAAACAGCAATATACATGCGCATATGTGCAGAGAGAGAGAGAGAGAGAGAGAGAGAGAGAGAGAGAGAGCGAGAGAGAGAGAGAGAGAGAGAGAGAGAGCTGGCAAATTAACGCGGGATATACAGCAGACGTTCTGTGTGTTCACGCGTGAACGCATGCTTCGACACCACCTGGCTGCAGATGGTGCCACCCAAAGCCCTAGAGTCTGAACCCCTTACGGCCCAAGACTTCCCCAAGAGCACAGCTACGCTAAGGAACACAGGGTAAACATCCGAGACTTGTATTGAAAAAGCTTAAATCTGAAAAGACTACACGCGCACACACACGCACACACGCACACGCGCACGCGCGCAAGCACGCACGCACGCACACACGCACACACGCACGCATGCACGCGCGCACGCACGCACGCACGCACGCACGCACGCACGCGCACGCACGCACGCGCACGCGCACACACGCGCACACGCACACACGCACATACGCACACACGCACGCACGCACGCACGCATGCACGCACACACCCACACACGCGCACACGCACACACGCACGCAC